CATGAGCATCTCCGTTCACAACATCTTCAGAAACAGCTGGAACAGACGGCTCTGAGCTGCTGTATGCTTTGCAGTGCTCCACGTTTCTAGTCCTCCATCAGCAAGTACTGTCCTATCCCTAAGCTTCCACTCATAACAACAATTCCTACTCTTTCTTCCCTAAATTAATATGGTAAAAAGTTTACTGAGGATGTTAACTCTTGTACATACCAAAATCAACAGGCCTACAAGGTCATCTTCGGGTTCAGATTTCACTGCTGAACAGGCATATTACATCACTCAATTCTAAATCGCAGGTTGTCAATACACCAGTGTAATTTGCCCAAATCCAACTGGCTTTTTAAATCTGCAATACCGTAAGTTCAAGATGACCACCAGGTAAAGAGTCTGATTTTCCATTTATGGTTTCCTAAGACATCTTTTGTTTCCCCAGTACGAGAATTTGACAACTTTAGAGAAAATATACTGATCTAAAGTTGATACACGGTGCCTAACATTTTAGGCACAAAGGAAAACAGTTATCTAAAAGTCATATACACTGGAACTTGCTCTCCTAAATAAGCCAGGGTACATATGATTAACTTCATTTTTTTTTTAATCAGACTTTCCTACTGGTACCATTACCCTTTTTTGAAATCTAATAATTGGGAAATAATATTCAGAATCCTGGACATAAAGGGCATGTATAAAATCACATAATACTCCATTAAGTCTTCTTTATATTTACTTCTTAAATGCAAATCAATAAGATGAGTATTTATTCAGCTGGTTAGGTTGGGAGTATTGTTTTATGGTTTTAGTTTTTAAGACCTATGTATAACAAAGTGATTATTCAGTAAAAACTACTGGATTTTTCAGACTCCTGTCCACCAATGCTACTGAAGCTTGAGAACATCAAATGTAGCATTTCTGAGAAGGGTGTTTCTGGCAACAAAAAAATATGGAGTTATAATATATTCAAAAGAATAACTATGAGTCATTGTAATGAATAACCGAAGAACTTACAGGATTTAGTATGTAACTAGACTTCAGCAATCAGTTTCTAGGTTAAGAATATTTTCCATTCATTTACATTTTGTTTTTAATGGAATCAGAGACTAGCTGTGACATTTTGGGGTCTCCTGAATCAGTTTGTGAGGTCTCAAAAGTACTTTTTAAGGTCACTTCACCACAGAGATAGCCAAGACTGTAGATTTGAAGCTTGCAATGGATCAGAATTCCCTGCAGATTTGCAAATCACTCTTGCATACCCAGCCCCAGGCCTTGCAGAAACAACACACAGGTCCATGCTGGTACAGCAGGTGCTTCCAAAGTGTCAGACCACGGGTGTTTGCACTCGCTGAAGCAGAGTCTCGTACAGATTTGTGGATCCTTCTATTGCATTTCAGAACAACAAAAGGGTTTTGCATACTTATGCACTGTCAAGATAACAGTCCACGTCCCTTTTGCAACGAACATGCCAAGAATTCTTCATTTGCTCATGTTTCTTTCTTACCCTCCCCTCTCCATGATTTATTAGAACAGACTTAATTCTCTTCCTCTTTTTAGGGAGTCTCCATGAATCTGATCCTTATCTTTCAGATACAATAGTGTAAATAAGAGACAGATGCAGACAACAAGCAAGCAAGGAGGATCACATATCAATAAAACAACGTGCTATACAGAGACAATATACTCCTTTGGGAAGGGGGAATGCTTTTTGGCATGCATTTGTATAGCATCTAATTCAATGGAGTCCTTTCCTAGAACATGTCACAGCAATGGAGATAAGTACTTAGATTCCAAGCAAAAAATGCATTTGCATACAAGTTCAAATCCTTCCTGTGCCGGACCCAGAAAGGTCCCCAACTGAGTTTCAGCTTTAGGAACAATTAGATGCCTTGTAGAAATCAAAGTCACAGTGGGTGTCCTCCAGGGGTCAAAACGTTGAGAGGAAACTGCCTGTGAACAACTCAGAGCAAGTGGAAGATGACTGACAACCTCAGGTTAAAAAAAAAAAGAAAAAAAAAAAGAGAGGCTGGCATCATAGAAAGATGATGGAGTAAGAGGGGCAAGAGAAAAAAAAAAAAAGATCAGAATACAGAAACAAGAGGGACTGAGAATTGCTCAGTGCCATTAGTGCACCGAAATTTGAATTTGATGCCAAGAAGAGAGAGGAAGTTGAGAAGTTCGAAGAACAGGGAATGAGAATGAGACATTAAGAGCTGATCAAATGCTCCCCTGTATCCTAAAGTGTCACCACTGAACTCTTCCCTTCTCCTCACTCACTATTCTTCCACTTACACACACAAATACTTTTCCTTAACAGACCTCTGACCTCAGTGCCTTTTCTGCTGTGCCTTCCTACAATTCCCAGGAACAGGCTCCTACTTCGCTATCGTGAAGCTTGGTCTACAAAGCTCTGCTCTTTGACCCTCAGCTGGGGCAGAAAACCAGCAGCTCCTCCTTCTTCCAGCTGCCAAATTCCAGGAGCTGCTTCTGCTGAGAGCAAGGAGTGAAAACGGCTTTTTATCTCTGTTCCCTTCTCCTTCAGCCGTGTCAGGACAACAGACAGTCCAAGGAAAGAGGACCCGATTTCATGCCAAAGAACCACGCATTTGATTCACTTGTGCTTCTTTCGTGGAGATCAAGGCAGCAGATCAAGCACAGGGTTGGAAAAGGGACTCTCAGATAACATGGTGAGCATCCTCCAAATGCAAACAGTGCTATTTGTCGTGCACAGCACTGCTAAACACAAGCTATTACTATGTTTTACTACATATTACTACGTTATTAACATTAATGCTACAGCCTTGGACTCAGAACGGGATTATACTAGTATCCTACTGGTTTATGGATTCCTGATCAACTAGCACACTAACTCAGCCTGACAGACTAATTTATGACGGATAGTTCCTCTTCGTTAGTATTTGGCTTTGTTAAAGTAGTACCTCACAACCACACACAAACACTGGTTCGTTACAACAACAGTGAAGCAAAGCTGAGAAGAGGACATATGACAGCGTATATACTGTGACTGACTTTTAACTACATATGGCACATCTGTATATGGCCGCAGACAAGCGTCACTGTACCTATAAACAGGCTGTATCACATAACAGCTGTACTTTTTACTACTACACTTCAAAGCCCAGACTGTAGACCAGCATCTGCTAAACCACTCACTGTCAGGATTTCACCCCACAATCCAAAATAAAACGTTTTAGACAGGAGGATATTTGGACACTTACCCTTTAACCAAACCATTTTGATCATTTTTAAGAGCCTAGTCTTCTGACATGTTGGTTAAAACTTGGCTTTGTGGGCCATTCCCATGAGAAAGAGAGATTTTTCATGAGGATCGATATCAGGTGATGGAAAGGCATGGACAGTGAGCCTAGCCATCATTCAGCTCTTCAGTTAAAGAACAGGAGATAACCAAATTGAACAACATCCAAAACTAAATAACACAGGTAATAAGTGAATAACTACTGATACTCCATGCCAAAGTCAGCCAAATTATGATTGCTGAACTACGCCTCCATGCTTTAGCCGGTACATGTGTTAACAAGCACTGCACTTTTATAGTTCCTGCCATTAAAAACAAATGCATCATTTATTAACACAGCTAAAAATATTAACCACCTAAAAAGTGTGGTTCAGTAAAATAAACCATCCCATCGGCAACAAGTAAAGTAAGTTTCTGAAACTTTTGCCTAAACAAGGCATTTTTAATGTATATTTATATGTATTTTTTATTAAATGCAAGAAAGCATTAGGTGGAAGGTGACAAGTAGTCTGTGTAGTAGTTTTCCTGGAGTCTGTTTACATTACGCTGTAAGACGATACAATTTCTCAACACAAATGCAGTTAGCATCATACAACTCTGCAATCCACAGCTGCCACATCACAAGCCTTTTCAGACCAAGACCTTCACTAGCAATTGTGAGTGCTTAGCAGATTGGATTTTTGTTAGGAGAAGTGAAATCACAGCGGATCGAGGAAACCCACACTTCAGCCAATCCTAAAAACGTGAAGCGTGCACAATTTCCCACACCGTTGGGCTAACCTGCCATAGCGCTGGGCTGCTGACATGACCTTAATGCCAGCTTGTTCGAGTCTTCTTAACTTTCTGATCTCTTCTGCATCTTTCCCCTTGGGTGCTGATGTTTCTTTTGCACTACATGAAGGAGACTGGTCTATGGAGTTTCCTTCGTTTTGATTCAAACCTACTTGATTTTTAAGGGAGCTTGCCTCAGGAGCCATGGAGCCCACTTTCTCCTTTTCACACAGTCCTGATGTTTCATTCTGTTCTTCTTCTATGGTTTCAGGGTGGGCTTTGCTATTGAATTATACAAGGTAGTTTAATGTATGCTGTGCCTGAAACATATACGCTTATTTATTATAAGCACATTTTGTTGATATTAAGATGCCAAAGGATATTCTGATGAATGATCCGGGAAGATAACTATGCTCTTTAATGGAAGTTGCTTCTCAGGCCAAATCAAAAGTGAAATATCAGTTGACAATACCAGGATGCAGAAACACATAGTCACAGCTATATAAACTGTACTGGTGCATAGAATACAACATACAAACAAATTGATTTTCAAAAAACACAGCAAAAATATTACCTGTTTTGATTGAATATATCAAATGTTACTTATAAGTATCATTTGTCAGTGAGTAACTGTCTTGAGAACTGAGACAGATCATCCAGAACATTTTTGTCCAGCCTTGGGTTTGAGTCAACATCCATGGTACTTATATTAACCACCGTCTTGTCAAACACAAGCTATATATTGCATTGTATGGTTAATAATGACATCAAGACAATGATTTTCCACTCCTTGCTTTTCCACCACCTTCGCCAATTGCTACAAACAATTTATCAGTACCATCTCAGCAAGAGATTTACTGCAGCAGAAGGCGCTTCATACATCTTATGAAAAGAATGAAAACTAGGCAAATGTTAAAGCATCATCACTGAGGAAGGGAGAAGTTGGACAGGCTGGTCTTACCTGAAAGGTCTGTCTCCTAGCGGTGAAGTTGCCGTGCTCCAGCTCTTTCGGTACTCTTCTCGTTCAGCTTTCTTTTTCCGAAGTGGAGCGGGTACATAGAAAGTCTGATTACTCTTGTTAGGGAGGTACTGGTTAAAAGGCACAGCTGATTTAGGTTCACCGTGTGAGGTCCGCCTTGCCAACATATCATCTTTTTTCACATCTGGCATCTTTCTGTGTGGCAGGTCAGTTTCCGAGTCACTTCCTCTCCCTAGTGAGGAAGGAGAAAAAAATCCCTCTTCTTTTCACTTTCATCCAGTTTGGTTTTTTTTAATTATAAATCAGAGAAGACACCACCAAAAAATTACATTTAGCATGTGAGTACCAAAAAACAAGGCCACTTTTACCTGTATTTATATTTTAAAATCAGTCACTGAAGGTAGTAGCCATAATACCTACACAGACAGTAAACATTTTTTTCCATCAACCCTTACTTTCTACCCCTGAAAAACTCATCTTCAGCCACAGGTCACATCAAAAAACTCAGGGTTAGATTAAGCCAGACTTGTCAATCACACAGGACGGCTACAGAAGCCTACCTGACTAAAGCCCAAATGATTCCTAGTTGTACATATGGGTATGTTCGACCTGATTCACACTCTTGAACCTAGACTTACATGTCCATAGCACAACCTCAAGCAAAAAGGGCTGCATGCTGTTTATTTACAGAATAGCAGAATCTTCTAATTTTTACGGCAATTTGAATGCACACAGCATAACGCACATAGCTTTGATCAAACTCTGAGAATAAGCATCAGCTGCTATAAACCAGAAGACTCAGATGGTCTCCCTCCAGTCTCATCGGCTGCCTGGTCAATCAGTCTAGCACATCACAAAAGAGACAGAGAGACTTGATCCTCAGATGGAAAGGTGCAAGGAGAGAGGGAAGGGATCTCAGGATTTAGAGGTTAGATCAGTACAGCAAAGACTGAAGAATACTTGCTGGCGAAGAAAAGAAATACGGTGAGAGAGACAAATCAAGAGTTACAGAGAATAAGATGGGAGATCAACAGAGCTGAGGGACTACTTTATTTTGTTCAAATGAACTAAGCTTCCTGATATTTACGACTCATTTAAAACACAGAAACTTAGACGAGACTGTTCCAACTTGAAAACAAAACTTCCAAATGGTAGGACAAATACCTTAAAGAGCATTTGCAGTGGAACTGCCCTCATAGCCATTTTGGAAGCCACTTCATAGACATTCACTAGATTCCCTGCACCATCATGAGCCTTTTTAAGTTATTCACAAAGAAGCTATGTAAATAGTTCTCTCCCAGCAGTGTAACATCACCACAGGCCCTGGTTTGATGAGTGAAATGGAGCATATTCAGCCGTTTCTCCCACCAGCATTCAAATCTTCTCCCAGCTTTGGAGCGCTGGACGTCTCTGGCCCTTGGACCCTTTGCAACATTTGCATATGCAATAGCTTTTCCCCTCTTTGGGGTGAGGGGAAGCCACCCAGGTTGTGCCCGCTTGCTAATTCACCATGCTAGTAAATTACTAGCTAATTCACTGAGCCACCTAATGAACAACCGAAAACAACAAAGTCATAAAAATCACAAGGAGCTTGTGTATAATTCAAAGTGGGGGAAGGAAAAGAGGTCTAAATATGCTAGGAATGTTATTTGCAAAGAGCTTTTGCAGCAGATTGAGTTATTCAATGTTTGCTTGGAGAGAGACGAAGAAGAGTAAAAGGGAACAGTAAGAAAAGACAAGACACAATGGAAATGAGCTAGTTAGACAAAAATCACAATGCACTTTTTGCCCGTAATCTTTTGCTTGAACAATTTTGGTTAAGAGCATATGATAACTAGCACCATGATTGGTAACCTGAGTCTATGTCTAAACAAAAAGTGGAGACATGACCACAGAATCATGAGTGTCTGAGGATAGCTGAGGTTTGAAGAGCTGTAATATCATTAGACTGAGCAGGGCCACAGAAGAGCTAAAAGAAAATGAAAAGATCCCTTACTGTTATTTGCTATTCTGTTTGCTCTTGACTTTGTTCTGGTGTTTATTTTTGTATCACATGAAAACCAGTCTTGAACCGGCAGACAGAAATGCTGGAATAGAAAACCACAGTAGCAGAGGAATTAGAACAGATTCCTCTCCCTCATTACTGATGTGCCTACCAGCATCCCCAAGTTGAGTACTTCAAAGACAAACAGCTCCTTTAATTATTCATATTTTACTTGTGAAATTATTTTCAGCTCAAATTTGCAAAAAAAGCACTTGAAGCCAAAGCACCAAATGGAAGATGCAGCCGTGCTCTACATTTATAATCTCAACTTTGTTGTTCTTAACTTCCAAGTAGAAGAAGCAGCAACCAGTTTCCACAACCCATAACAAGCAGTTATACACCACAGACATGCACAGATCCTTCATACAAGGACCCATGCACAACTGCTGGCCAAGGAGAGGATTTTATTCATTGCTGAGTACATTAGCAACTCTACAGACAGGCTGGTCTGCAATTCTACTGTGTTTTAAACAAACTGTTCTGCTCTACCACTGGTTTTGTTTGCTTTTTGCCAAGGGTCTGCATAGGACACGAGAGCAGTTCCTGAACAGTGGGGCTAAGCACACATGGCATTCATAAAGGTAGTATTACTTATTGCTTCCACCTAAACTAATCATCACCTTAGGATCATTTAAATGATCTCCATTCATTAATTTTTCTTCTAGGAGTGGAAGGAATCATAGTTTTATTTCGCTGTGATATTATTGGGTTTATAAAGCTCCTCTCTGAATGGAGAGAGAAGTAACGCAAGCAGAACCTTTTCCTCCACTCAGCTTTACATATACATTATTTCTATAAAAAACTACATGCAGCTGAGTGAAACCCTGGCCTGCTGGGGCCACAGGAAGAGGTTCGACAGAAAAGAGGTCAGCCAAGCTACACCTCACCTGCAACTCTTGGAGGAGACAGCTGTGAAGTTATGGCAGCAGCAAGCAGGAAAACGGGACATATTAGAAAGGGCCGGCTGGACAAGTCACACGTGTGCACACAGCATCTGCATGCACCCTGGGTCTGGATATTGTTAAAGACTAATTTTTAAGAACTTTGTAAGCTTTGTAGGCTTGCATCTTATTTTCTGTTTGTTAGGGACTCAAGAATGTGACAAGATAGTATGTCTTAGCTGTGGCAAACTAACAACCACAAAACCTTACTAAAATCTGCTAATACAGCAGAAGTTGATAGGAAGCAGCTACAGGACATATGTAACTGGCTGCTCACCAGCTCCAAGTAGGCAGGGACACTGGACACTCCTTGAGCACCCAGGATGGAGCAACGCTTCTTGATTAGGATATGTGAGGTGCTCCTATTTGCCAACATCACACTTTTGGCTCATTTGGGAAGGCAGAAAAATGTTTTGTAATATGGAGACTGTGCTCTGTTAAGTGTCTGACGGGGCACGAGGCCATTTCAGGGAATCAGCCCCAGTAGCTGGTTCTGGATGGTCAACCAGCAACAGCCCAATACCACAGGCCACTCAAAACAGCAGAGCAGATCTTAGCCCTGCTTTCCCCACAGCTCTTTCATAATTCAGCTGTGATACCAGCTCTCCCTGCCAGCTCTTCAGTTTTAAGGAGTTCCCCATCACCTCAGGAAATCTCTAATGTGTCCGGTTATGATTAGCACCAGTTTCTTTCACACTGCCAAAAGCAGTATGAACACCTGGTTCCTACCAAAAAGTCTTTCTGCCTTTCCTTTTTTTATTAAATAAATTAAATGAGATTACTAAGGAGAAGTGATTCATGTGTGGAACATAATTTCATTTGATGATGAAGTCTGACGGATCAGACATCGGGAATGTAACCGTGCACAGGGAGCCTCAATCAAGCGTCTTTTTGTTCTGAACCAGAATCCTGCTCACGACAGGTAACCTAAGTGCATGCTCCACACCTACCCCTAGCAAATCCTTCCTCATCCAGCACGCTGTGTTTACAAGCCTCTGGAAGCCTCTGGGAATCAGACGAGAAAGGCAGAGAAGCAGCACCCCTTCTGTAAGCCTAGAGCTGCGTGTTCTCACTCAAAGCTGTGCAAAGATGGCCAGAGCTCTGATGCCGGGAGCTATTAATTTACCCAATTTTCTAAATACCACGAAAACAAATACAACATTTGGTAAAATGCTGTACATCAGACTTCAAAACTCTGTCAAGTATCAGACATTTCTAAGATAGTTCTTTGTTGTTTATCTGCCCAGGGTTTACTTGGGCAAACAGTTTATTCACTTCAATATTTCCCTTGTTCCTGAGCTTTTATTTCTTGTTCCAGCCTAGTTTATACCTTAAAATGAGTCTGCATAACATCCTCTTACACCATTACCCAGAAAAGCACTCTTCCCATCATAAAATTACACTGCAGTGATGTAACTCATTTTCCAATGCTACACTATCCTGAGACACACTTCAAGTAAGTTGTTGGCAAAGTCGCCTAAACCTCAGGGAGCACAAATCAGCATTCACAGGGAAGTTCTCCCACCAGATTAGCATGATTCAGAGGCTGTGTCCAGCTTCCGAATGGCACATTTGCTCCAGAAATGTTACTTATATGTCACAACGTTATGCATGTGCCGCACTGTGACCGGTACTTACCATCGCTGCTCCCTCTGAGCACTACATCTGGAGACGGTGTCTGCTGCGAGCGGGAGCCAAAGGAGTCCAGACTGTCAAAGGAATCATCTCTGCCGTGGCGAGGCGGGGAGAGGGAATCGCTGCGTTCAGAGTCCCAGCAGTCTATGTAGCCGCTGTCGCGAATGCTGCGCTTTGGGCTCTCGATATCCTCTGTTTCCTACATGGAAGTACAGCAGGTACCGCTTCATAAAGAAGCCACTGACATACCCGTGAGATCCATTACACATCAGACAACAAAGCATCTTCCCAAATACTAAAAATCTCCTCCCCAAAAAAGGGTTTCCTTGTTTTCTACCCCTTCTCCCCTTCAAAACAAAAGTGCAAGCTTGCAATAAACCCCAACGTTATGCTGATTAAGAGGAAACCCCCATCATTAGATTAATACGATGAAGCAAGAAAAAGTTGCAATAGGCAAGTTAATAAACAGATCAAAACTGAAAGTAACCTGAAACTTGACTTGTCGTCCATAGTCCATAGCACAGGCAAAGGCACTACAATTTTAACATCGTGCCTGCATCAGGTTTAAGTCTGCTGCTTTCCAAAAGATCCCCCCCTCCCCTTGCCCATCTATTGTATCTGGCTGGGACACCAGCAGACAGCATTTGTTGTTGCTGCTTCAGCTCGGCAAAATAATGAAGCAGTGTGCCCCAGCCTCCCTCTACCTTGAAGAGAAATTCCTGTTATGAAAGAGGGATGTCTTTCTGAAGCAATCAGCAATGAAAAATATGCAAAATGCTTTTCCTGATGCCTCAGAAGAATTCAGTTGTGCTCTTTTCTCTTTGCCAGCTCCTGGCTCTGGGGGATATGAAAGCACTTGTAGCTGACCCACATGTTCAGAGCAGGGAGAACAATGGTTGTCTTTGACAGCCCTGTGATTATAAATTCTTTCCAGTGCAAGCAGCACATACTAAAACACTGAAACTCCAGCAGAGGAAAAGGTCAATAGAAGCCATCCTCACCCTTGCATTATAATAAATCCCTTGTTTTAGAGAGCGTCTTAACATTAATTACAATTGCACAGGCTGAGAAAAAACAAAAATAACTACTTTTATGCAAAGATAAATCTGTTTTTTTCTCCCCGACAGTAAGTAAAGTCAGAGATGTGGGTGTCATTATCAGACTGACATTTTGGGACCCAAAGAGGTTGGAATGTGATTTTTTTACTTTTTCTTTTTTTTCCCCAGAAGCATTTGAATATTAATTCCTAATTAAGACGCAGCCCCTGCTTACCACTAGCTGGAGCACAATGGCTATGTTGAGCACAGCTCCCGCTGTCCTTGACTGCTAAGCTTTTACCCGTTACTAGCATCGCCAATGAGAAGATCAGTCAAGAACATCACAGTACACTATGGCGGGCCACCTCCGCCAGAAAGCCGGTTTGCTGTAGAAGTGATGGAGAGAGGAGAGCCCTGCAGTAACGCACCAAAGCTTCCGCGCTGGAAAAGAGGGAGGCTCAAAGCGAGACAGAGAGATCAGACCCGACGTCCTGCAGACTTTTCAGGAAGAAGGCTTAATTAGTGCCACTCACTATTACGCTGCCAAAATACCACATTAAGGGCAGCGGCAAAGGTCCCCTAAGGCCAAGCTAAACTGTGGTAATGTCAATAAGTAACCTCACTGCAAATTGAAGTGAAAGTATTTTCTAAAAACAAATAAAATTCATTTAACAAAGTAGTAACTGGATCCTATGTAGTTTCCTTCCCCAGTCCTGCTTAGTGAACTAAAATCCTGGTAAGAACACTAGACAACACAGATCTGTTTCCCCGAAACCTGCATGAGTTACACACATCCAAAACCAAATCTAAAAATCCTATCAAAATCCCATTTGTGATACAATCCAAAAATCTTTTTAAGAATCCAAATTCCCTAAATCCCCTCATCCCTTCATACCAACCAGCTATTCTCAATCCTCTGGCACACTTTGATTTTCCTAAATTACTGTATCTGAATGACACAGAACTGCTCAGCAGCTACAGGGACTCAGGCAAAAAGCCCCATCCCGCATTCACTATCTCCCAGAGTTTGAAAACAGTCCAATTGTGAACTGATGAGTTCTGCAGACCCTACTTTCAAAGGCCTGTTGATGTTAATTTTGCATGCTGCTCACCAGGAAGGGATCCTAGACTTCTGTAAACATGTTCTTTACAGCCTTCCCCTTGGCAAAGCTCCCCTCCCAGCCCAACGTCGCCTCACAGACGGGTACTTGTCCTGCTCTGAGCAAACGTCATCTCCCAAATGTTAGCAATGGGAAAAAGAAATTGGTTATCTACAGGACTGATAACACCGTAACACAACACGCAACAGCACGTCAGTCTTTCATATTATCTAATTAAAAACATGGTATGTCACCGAGTGGTAGTAAAAGTATGATTGCCAAATATAAGATGCATTTCTCCAGGAAGTTCTACTCACTAAATATAATCAAAAAGCTGTGAACGTTTTGTTGCTAGGAATTTCTAGTTTAAAAATAAAGAATAATGCGTATCCAAATAGTTAATGAAATTAAAAACAGAGTAGCATGAATAAATTAGAAATGAATAGCCCTTTCAGTATGAGAAGTAGAAAAAGATGAGTCCAAGACAACTTACATCTGAGCTGTCTTTTGATTTGCTTATTAGAAAAGGAGGGCAGAGAGGATTTATAACAAAAAACCTAAACCAGACTGAATTTATGGTCGATTTAATTATTAAATTCAGTGGAAAAAAATGCCAGTAGAGAATGTGATAAAGTGTCTTTTCATCACTCGAGCTCAGCTATAAAGAACATCAGTGTTGCACAGCATGATTAACACGTTCTATTTTATAATCAAATCTTCTTCAAATTCAGCAACAGACAAGCCTACCGTTGCCAGTGGGAAATACTGCAAGGGTACAGGAGTAGGGAGGTGACCTTAACATAAGACGCCAGTGGCCCTCGTAACAGTACCACCTAAACAAGACTTTTCAGGACTGCAAAGTGCTCTGTTTCTACATTAAAGGAATATAGAGCTTTCAGCTTTTATGAGATCTCTACTCTGTGCCCGGCTCCAACATGTGCAATGAATCAAGTCCCAGCCTCTTGCTTTTGTCCTTGACCTGCAGTGCTCTGCACTGCCCCGCCAGGCGCTCCACGATCATCAGCTCCCCAGAGAACGCTGCCTGTCGGCCCCAGTCTACTTCATCCCACAAAAGGGCTCAAGATGGGACCTCCAAAACGCGCTGATGATTAGTCTGATGGGTAAACATCACCTGGAAAAAGAGGAGCCTCATGCTGCGAGATTAAACATTAAAAAATAAACCATGATACCATGCAGCATTCACATTATAACAACCTGCACTTCAGCAATTTTTCTGCATTAGCTCCTTTGTCCATCTTTGTTTCACCTTTCAGACTCTTTGGAGTGGGGATTGCATCTTCTATTTGGAAACAACTCAAATATTAACTTAATTTCTTTATTCCTTGGTCTCAGTCATATCGCTCATGAGTGGCAAAGTCCCAAGCGATTAGCGCAGGTCATTTCAAAGGAAGACCAAAATAAACCTCTGCAGAGAAGCAGGATGTTCTCTTTTCCTCTCCATTTCCACCTGCTTGTTCACAGGAACTGGGCTCACAAACAGGGATTTTACCTGTCTAGTTAAGGCTCTCTGGTCACACTAGGGTGTAGGAACTGCTATCAATCAGCCAAGTACTTCTTCCTCTCCAGTGGTAATCTGGTGCTGGCCCTCTGAGATCCCAGAATGAAGAGCTGCAGCTGGTGCACATGCAGTAGCACAGAGCTCAAGGAGAGTAAAGAGCAAAGAGTCTCCCATGGTCCCCAAACCCTACTGCCTGTGGTGACTTGGCCATTACATGAGATGGGGAGGGAGTAGCAGGCATGAAGCTCTCTGTGGGCTGGAGAACATATGTGCATGGCCTTTCATGAGCAGTATGTCCAACACATGCAATGCTGCACACTGGGTGCTGCCATCTTCTTACATGCCTGCTCCTTGCCCCTTCCATCTCCAGTAAATGCATGCTTGGATATCAAAGCTAACCATTACTGACGTTAAGCGTCCCATGTCGAGGTTCAGGGCATGCTGGAGCGCTCAACCAAAAGTCCCCAATCCTCCTTAAGGCAATCACAACTTTTCCCTTCCAACACAGCTCAGCTCATCATAAACCACCAAATATGATTTCAGCCAGAATTCAGAGCTTGGCAAAACACAGATTCATCATAACTATACCCTTGCTGAAAAAACCTTCTCCTTCTACCCCTTCAGCTTTATTTAGATACTTTGGTTTGATGCTTTATGTTGCAACTTAAAACCAAAAGAGCTGCCCATGAGACTGAATGTTTTAAAGAAGAAAAATCTCTGCTCCTGTGAGTCCTGCCACCTTACTTTTGAGTCTCAGCTCTTCTAGCTGAAATTCTGTGTTGTAAATTAAAATAACTCAAACCAAAACCTAAGGAAATGAAGATGACAGAGCCAAGCGACAATTCTAAAGTCCTGTTTGACATCATGTGCTGCATCACTGATATCACCACAAAGCTGGCTGCCAAAGAAAGTTGTGTTCATGGCTTGGTAGAGTCAGAAACATTTTTGAAGGAGGTAGGGGTTTACTAAGTAATTTGTACTCCAGCCCCCTACTTCTCTCATATTTAGCAACAAAAAGGTTATTTATGGGAGTAATAATTCAAATGAAATTTCCATTCCCAAAACATAACAAAAAGATACCTTTCTCATTTGTGCCAGCAAACCTTCAAACTCCTTCAGGTTCAGGGTTGATCCACTGTATGACGTGCAGCTGTTTGCCGCTTTCCCTAGCCAATAAATGGTGACTAATACCTGCAGAAGTTAATAAGAATTAAGTGAAGCCATCTACACAGTCACTTAGCTAAATTCACTTCCCTTTAGCATCTCTCATTTATTCTATACTGCACAGCAGCACAAGATTTTGTTATAAATCAGAATTGAAAGGGAAGTGTCTGCCAGTGGTTAAACATAAATACATTGGGCAACTATGAAAATTTAAACAGTCCTACAGAACATGTAACTTAACACATTATCTTCCTGGTGTTTTTATAAAAAAATGAAACTGTCATGTCTGCCTGGAAAATAAACAGCAAAAATAAATCTGAATAGAAACACCAGGCAAGGTATTTTTAACTGTCTAGAAGACACACTTGTAAATATATCTGTTTGTAAATACAATAGGGAAAAAACAATTCCCTAAAGAGTACTAATACTAGTGGTCATTAATTAAAACCATTAAGACTAATGGAATAAATAAAACATCTGAAATGGGTGCCCGTCTATTTCAAGGACAGAAAAGGTAGTTCCATTTTTAATCATCTTAGTGTAATTAACCAGATGACATGGGAACATTTACTTCCAGGCCTCTGCTTAGTCCAAGATTAATCAAAAGCCATGAGCATCTGGTTGTTTCTACCAGACTAAAGTGGAAAGAGTTAGTGGTTTCATTCAAGTTCTGACTTGATATCTCTCCATAACTCAAAAGCCACTTCAAAACTAGCATGGAAAAAAAGCCAAGAATTGCTCTTGCAAATGTTTATATACCCTCTCACTCCTTTAGGTAGCAAAGAAATCTGATCTGACACTGCTGGTGCTGCACTTGTTTTAGGAAAGGAGAAATTAAGATGCTCAGGATGGTCAAATCCAACACTTCCAAAAATGCTGATATTTATATCATGCAGGGAAAGCAAACAGTCCTCCTCTGCACCCACATATGTCTCCACTTAAAGCAATGTCTTTAATGGTACCTGTGCAGCAGCAATTTGGACTGGAAACTGATCGTCAAAGGCAATTCAGTTCAGAGTTTTGCACTGTTTAAAAATGCCAAACCATCACCTCAGAACTTAGGGCTATTTCCCATTTAATGCTCATTATTTCTGCATATTCTGTGACATTGCAAAGTATTTAACTGCAGAACAAACAGGAAATATTTTGATGTGGAAAAGATGTGCAACCAATCATAAATAATAGTTCCCATTAACTGTCTCAAAAAAGTTAAATAAACTGAAACATAGTATGTTATGTTTTGATGGGACAGAGCCATATAATGCATACTATATAGTGAACTAAAGAAAATAGGACTAGGAAAAATCCCAAGGGGGCACTGGGGACAGACATCTCTTGTCAGACTCTTCTTCCCTAAACCATGCACCCACATTCCTTCAGTGCTTCCTCCTCAGTCCATATGCTAGACTTCTGATGAGCCTTTTCTCATCAACTTTCTCTAACATCCCCATTTTTCATTTAAGTGTGATGCCCAACATCACACACAGCACTCCAGCTGAGGCCCTGCCAGAAAAGGACACAGCATGTGTCACACAGATCCCCTGTTTAAAAACAACTGCGGTGCATAATGTAAAATATATTCTATTTTATATATACATATAGTTTATATTTCCCTTTAGTTTATAAATAATATACATGCCATGAAATAACTGAATAAAATTTTTAACGAAGTTCAGAAATTTTCCCCTTGTTTTAAAATTACATCTAAATTGATACTACTGTGCTGAGGGAAAGGAGGTGGGTTTGCCAGTATAGATTTTTTTTGTGTCTTGAAACAACCTTTATCTGAGCTGTTTTCCTTCAACCAGCACTACTCAACAAATTTATGTAAAAAATTCTTACAGTACATGTTCTCAAGTTAAGTGAAAACACTTGCAAATATAGTATTCCTAGCAACCAGGAAACTGTCCAATTCATTTTGCCATTCAGTTCTCTCATGAAGGTTGTGGTATTTTTATTTATTTCTGCTAGCATTTGATCACTTTCTCTCTTCCTCCTTTCTTTATCTACCTCTTTGGTTTTTTTCCAAATAATGTCACATTTGCACGCAATTCCAACTGGCTGCCAGCCGAGGTTGCAGGATCAGGCACCTGGAAATTGTATATTGCCTACAAGCACATTGTGGAGGATGCTTTTGAAACTTTACCTTTAAAACAACACATCTATACAAAGATATTTAGCCAGTGCCCACAAGGGTGCTAAAATGCCATAGCTGCACTCCTTCCCTGCAACTTTGTGTGCTGGATGCAGAAGATATTACTCTAATGATGATAGGAAAGACAGGATGAAATAATTTGGGTTTTTTAAAATGTTTTTTTAATTTATTTTTTACCTGCAGTCATGATTACTGGCTTGCAAAGTTATTAGGAAAAGGACTTGGCATTTCCTAGCACTTTATAGGGATGTGAGCCAAATATAAAATGAATTTATAGCAGTTTACAGCTGACTAAGGACAGACAGCTTGCTAGGCTTTAGGATAATAACTAACCCTGAGGCCAGCAAAGTTTAGCCATTTTCTTTTCTACTTAATAATTACAGGACCATTATCATTGCTATTAGTTTAAATCAACAGAAATTAAAGTTAAATGGATTAGCCTTTCTAGGAAAACACTAATTTATTTGGAAGAACAATGAGAAAGCTGCAAATCTGACAGTAAAGACTTGCATCCAGATCTAATGATCATTTTACTTCATTTTAAATACTTTGTGCAAATTTACTTTATGCCTATATATTCATGAAAGGCTACAAAAGTGTAGCTTCATGGGTGAGTCAGACCATTCCCAGTGAAAACCATGATGGACAGCAGACAGATCACATTCTTTATTCCTTAATTAAGCACAGACAAACATTCTCCATTATATTTCTATTGTAAGGCTGCTTTGCCATAGCAGCTCTACTGAAGTTTGCAGTAGAACCTGGTTAGGTTTGTATTCAGAAGAGCTTTTCAGCGATACTCATCTGTACTAAGTTTTTACTGACATAATTCTTGCTCAGGCCAAATACAGGATTAACCAGACAAAAAAAAAAATACTCCAAGTCATGTACTTACATTTTTCAGCTTCCTACTATAGTCAATGTTCCTGGTTGCACACACACACACACACACACAAAAAAAAAAGAGGAAAAAAAATAATCAGAAAGCAGACACACTTTCCAAGAGCATGTATGCAGCAGATCACGTTTTCCCTAACAAAAGCCTACAGAATGCTTCTGCTGGCTGGAAACACATGAAAGCTAAGAAGATGTAGTTCACACATTCATTTATTCATAACGTGGGAGTATTTTGTCACCATTACTTCAATCATTAAATTAGAATTCTGGAAGTACAAAAAGAAAATGTGTTTATAATGGTCCCACAGCAAAGTAGGACAGTGCCAGAAATATTTCCTTTAAACAGTGTTGCTGATTTCTTCAAAAAAGAAGACCAAAGTCCTCACTGCTAAAATGTGTTCTGCAGTAATCCAACAGTCGGATTCTGCTCTGTGATAAATCATGCAACCCATACAGATCCTGGAAGCAACTGAACATGCATAGGAGGCCGAGGAAATCATCAGCAAATATTACGGAAATGGAGCAGGTGCTTCTGTGGAAACAAGCATCACAAAGAACAAAGTAGACGTGTGAAGCGACAGAACCTGCTGTGAAAGACATATTTATCTTCTGAATGTATACTTGAGCACTCAGACATTGGCAACCTTCTCAACTTAGTTTTTCACCAATGTTCAAAGGGTGGAAGTTTTATGTTAGAAACAACAAAGCACAAAGTTTGCACAAACGTAATCAACATCTCAAAATTCAGCAAAGAAACCATTAAAAAAAGAATGGAGGAAATGCGTATCACATTTAGGTGCTGAAAAATAAATAAAAACACTTCAGATTTAGTACAGATAGTCTCCTGATTATTTATAATGGAATTGCCTTCTATTATAACAGTAAGTTCACTCCAGCATTAAAGGTTACCTGATAAAAACAAAAATAAATGTACTTAAATCTGTGAGAACAACGAAAGCCTAAATATAGGCAATACTAAACCAAAGTATTTTTGATAACATCGTTTTTAAGCCAAAGTTTTATCCACCAATACCCACGTACTAAGAAAAACAACACAGTCCTATTTTTTTTTCTTAATAAAATAGCAGTGGAAAAGAGTCTTGTTTAACAAGTCAAGAAGAAATTCTTTACAGCATTAGCTCATAACTTTTATAAGCTAAATGTTCCAAAAAAAATAGATCTAATGCATACTTCAATTAACATCTATATGAAAAAAATTGTTAAAAATGTCATTATCTTAATCATGTTCAATAATGTCATATTCATCCTTTACTATAGAACAAATACTATTTTTACCATGTTTAAAAAACAACCCAAAAGTCTGCAAAAGAGGGGGGGAGGAAATTACCTTCATGCTTTGGGAACTAGCTAGCAGAAGACAGTCTTGAACATATTTCTTTACAACAGTCATGGACTTGGCTTGCACACCTCAACTCAGTCACTCAGCGTGAACTTGGACAGTGCTAGGAAAACATTTGGCTCATTTCCACAGCTGCTTTCTCTGAAGAGTTGATGGGGAGGAAAATCCATGCCAGCGAGACAATTCACATCTATCTAGCATCATATTCAGCGGGGGGCCAAGCCAGCTCCACAGAGTGTATTACTCCTGGTTGAACTTGCTTAGGTGCTGGACAGCTCTCCTTGGAGCTCCATGCTAGTCCCAGCCTCTCAGCCTGCCTCCTCTGAGGCACTCCACCATCCTCAACCCAAAAAGATCAAGGTTCTTACCAGAAAGACCCTTTCTCTCTTGTTTTATGTGGAGATTGAGGATTGTTTTGCAACTCTCTCCAGCCACTCGTTGTCATGATTTTACAGTACGTTGTGAAGAACCTCTTTCATTGCAATATTACCAGATTCAGGAGAAATACATTACATAGCCCCCTCTATGTACAGGCAAGAAGAACATCATATTAGAGCCAGAAACTTGGAAGGGAGCAAAAAGTGGGAGACTATTCCTTAAAACAAGGAAGCTGGCCAATTCAATTTTCAGAGCCTTTGAATTTTCCCAGACAGTGCTTGAACACCATGAAAACTTGCCCAGCTTCCACTGCCAGAAGGGAAAAAAAATGGAATGCCGCTGAAATTTAGTAAATTGTTTCCATATACTTTTCTAAAATGGATATGCCTGACCAGGATTTCATTAGTGATCTTTTTGGGCAAATGAAACAAGGCCATTCAATCAACTCAGCAGTATTTGCTTGTCTGTAGAGCAATAACTTTTTAATATTACACATGATCACCCCAAAAATTTCAGGAAAACTTCTAAATAACACCAATTACAAATTTTGTTAATTTTATAAAAGTGTGGGGTGCTCTTGCTTTTGGGGGGTGGGGAGCTTGATTGCCATTAATATAAATGGGAGGAAAATACAGTTTGACTGCTTCTGTTCGTCTAGTCCACAGTGACAAAGTCTTCCCTGAAAGGGACAACAGTTCCCATTTAAGACCTCAGTCTATGACTATATGGACTTTGATTCAAGCCTGCTCTGTGTGACCTTAGGCAAGTCAGTAATTCTTCCTGTGCCAGTTTCACATCTGTATTTTAAATCACTTTGTGGGGTGAAATGCTGAAAATACAAGCATTGGAGTCTAAGCACCAAGTACTCTTTGCAGTGAGGGATGTGCACATACCATGGCTAAAAAGCTGTTGATTAAAAGAAGATTAAAAAAAAAAAAAATCACTTCACCCCCCAAAAAACATGAATTAGTTATTAGGAAGGAAAACCTCTTACTATGTGTGTTGTTATTTGTGTGGTAGTAGGTGTGTGGCTTTGGTGAAAAGGTATCTAAACTGTGGCATTTTCGGTCCACACAGTTCACACAGACATCCTCAGCCCAAATATAGTGTCCTAACCTATAGTTCTTGTTAGAAAATAAACAGACCATGCTCATGTCTGCATCTTGTAGAGTCTGAGAGGCCTATAAATGTCCTATAATGCATTTTCAAAACAGTTTAATCTGAAATAACAGAGCTGTGATTTTTTTCCCCCCAGCCTATACAGTTCATTAGTTGGACAGACAAAAAAGAATGCCATCAATTTAGACTCAGGAAAACCCCTAAGTCCCACAGAATCTCATTGCGTAACTAAAACAGTATTTTAAAAGAGCTGTGGTTGATCTCTCTGGGAAAAATAACAGCCCTTAGAGAAAGCCTGGTGAAGGGAACAATGTATTCTTCCCAGTGCCAAAGGTTTCCCAAACCTCAGCTTCCTATTTGCTTTATACAAATGACAATTCTATAGCCTTTTTGCTCATCCTTTAAATATTTACTATTGCATCACATGCATCTGAGGTTGTAACATGCTAATCGCAAACTGCTGTTGTACTTACTTGATGGTTACTCTGTTTGATGTGTCCTGCAGATCACCAGGGTCAAAAAGCTGAGATTCTTTAAGTCCCAGCTCTTTGCAGCCTCTTAAGAATAAGATGATATTATCCTGAAACGAGGCAAAAAAATAAAATACTTTTAACTCTTCTTCATTGAAAAAAATAATCCTACTGAACCAACCTCTCCCTGACTCAGTAACAGCTCACAAACAGTTGTATCATTAGTTAAATGAAGAACCAAAGACATTTCCAGTCACATAGTTTTAGAAGTCAGTACATGTTTTGTTTGAAAACCAAATAAATATGAAACAAAACTTTTTTTTAAATTATTTTAAATATGTAACTGCAACGAGCTTGTTGACTCTTCTCTTTCCAAACCCCAATGTTGGCAACTTCTGTAACTGAAAAAGCCCTGCTGATTTCCCCATCTACTGCTGTAGGCTGCCAACACGGCTTCAGCACGTTACGGGGCAGAAAAGAAAAGGCCGGATTTCTGAAGGGAGCAGGAGGAAGGGTAGATACGAAACAGCCCATTGCCATTTAAACAAGCAGTTTGTTCAGAAAACATTTTGCCTGTCGATACAAACAAGCCAGTTGCTCCTAGTTAACACAACCAGCCTCTTGCTTCTCCAACCTTAACCAGCCAGAAGCCACTGGGAAAAGAGAGGTAGGTGCCTTCTCCCCAGACAAAATGCTTGAAGCTACACTTTACATGACCACTGTCTGTAAGAAGAAACACCACCAATTTTGTAACACTTTTTATGGAGGATTTACACTTTTCAGAGTGTAAAAAATAAAAATCAGCAACTAAGAGAGATTAAGCACAAACTGATATAAGCCTCTTTCAAACCAAATACGAGTGATGACACATGGGTTTGCACCGAGGGGATTAAATCTGTATGCGTGCATATACATTTAATATATGTTTTATACTTACTTACACATATGCATGTACACCACCCCCCTTTTATAGAACCAGTGAATCTTTCTTATGTGGATAAATCTTTAAGGTCAGTAGAGAACAAGTTTTTAGATAGATACGTTGCTAGATCAGCAGCTGCAATAGTAGGTGTGTGGACAAGTAAGGATATGATGTACAGCTTGATATTCTCTGAGGCCTCTCACCTCCAACCTCCAACTGGAGGTAAGCTGCCACGTGAAGAGTGAGCGAGGAGCAGAAGCACAGCGTGGGGCAGAGACCTCCATTTTTGTAACAACTGGGAAGCAGAGGAGCCTGGGCAGCGTTCAGCTCTTGCCCACCCTGTGTGACAGCAGGGTTCGTGAGCAGGGCTCTCCCCGCATCTGCTCCCAGGGTTTTGTTTGGGTGGCATGGCCACAGCTCGGCGAGAGCAGCCCTGTTTATTCTGTCGGGGCACAGCCATCAGCATGCTAATCGCTCCAGCTCTCCGCATGCCAATGCTCCTGCACACAAAGCTCGCTGTCACCAGCCACACCGCAAAAAAATACGGACTTGGAAATTTAGAGGAGTCCAAATGTCCCTTTCTTCCCTGGCTGAAATTTAACAGCTCTGGAAGGGAGCCAGGGGGAAAGGAACAGCAGTCGAAAGAGCAGAGAGCCCATAACCCAGAGAGACAGCATCATTCATGACATGAAAAGATGCTTGTAAAATTCCCCATCTGGCTTACTGTTTGCATTATAATTTTTCCAACTGCAACATGAATAACTCTTGTGTTTAGCCTTTGATGGAGGACAGTTCTGGTCACTTCCAAATGGTGGGTGGAATGATGTGTAAATCTAATAAAAATGCAAAAGCATTTAAAAAAAGTTCCTAACAATATTTCCCAACAAAAATATACAGGACATACAGGACACAGTAACCTAATAGGTTTAGAAAACAATCAAAGGAGCAGAAACTCCAGGGATAACTAATTGCACCCATCTTTATGCCAAAAGTTCACATCGAAGTTATGCTAAGCGGTAACAAAAATATCAGCCATTTGGCAGACATGTAGTTTGGAAACTCAGTTCTTCTGTTGATGAACGAATGCCCACTTCTCAAAAAAAACCCAAAACAAACAGTGTCACCACCCTATGCCTGTTTTCTTACATGCTTTTATTTTGGTGGTTGTCGTAAGAATAACGCCAACAGTCAGTAACACCATCACCCCAACAATTCCTCAGAAAGCTGGTATCTTATATGGGCATAAATAACCCACGCATGTTAACAAGATGCAATTAGTCAGCACTAAAAGTTTTTGCTTCTGTTAACAATCTCATAGTTTTATTTCCCAGTGGTCCTAAAACTAGCAATTTGCCTAAAATGATTAAAAAAAAAAAGCCAACAAAGAAATTGTTTTCAGGTGACAGATATTCAGGTAAACCTGCCTAGGCTGCACATCCCCAAGCCAAAATGTATCTCATGCTGCTGCAAAACTAAACTTTTCCTGGTTTGCTTCACTACAGTTGAAATTTCTATTTGTTAGCTCTACTGAGACACTGGACAATACCACTCCTAAGTCACTAAAAGGAGAAAGGAGTCTTATCATGAAGACCCAGCTCCCAGGAAAGCTTTCTCTCTGGATTACTACACCTTGCATTGGCCAAGTCCTGGTTTCTTCAGGTCTCAGAAAATTTTGCTTAAATTTTTTGAGAGAAATTATAGTTCCATATCTGTTATCTCTAAGTACACAATGTTTTTAGTCACCTATTCTAAAGTGCCACTCCTTTGTTGCTGTTAAAGAAACTAAAAAAGAAAACAACCCAAAAAACGTTTACAAACAGCAACATATATAAAACATCCTTACCTAAGTAAGGGACTGAAAATACGCACTGAATGTGCATGTCCAGCTCCTTACAACTTGGCATAGCTAAATAGGTCACGCAAATGGGTCACACTTGCAATGGCAAGGATCGCAGCGCGGCCAGCTGCTGTGCCTCAGTTAACAGGGCAGTATCTTTTACAGGGGTCTCAGAAGACACACGGCCAGAATTCAGTCCCTCTGGCAGCCCCTACAAGGCACTAACACAGAATTTCCTCAACACATTAAATGGAGACGATATGGCCTCTCTCTGAGTGGTTACTTGCTGCAGTTGCAGAATTGAATAGACGGAGGATGGGTCACTTGGTCAGCACATCATTTCCTACAGCCCCAGAGGACCTGCAGCTGTCTCCTGCTGGCTCCTCTTGCTTTCAGTCCACACCACTATTCGATCAAAAATCTTCTGGTTTTTGTCCCTGTACCCCCAGAGAAAGAGCGAGCTTACAGATTACAGTCTAAATTTCTTTTGCAAATTTTATCTATTTTTTTGTCCATAAAATTTTAGATCTATAAATCTATCATCTATAGATACCTCTAAAATTTTATCTAGGTTTTCTCTATAAAATGACACAAACTCTAAACAGGCTGCTTACAGACGACAAATGCTTCAGTGTGGTGGCAGACAGAGGACACAAGCTCAGGATACACTGACAGGTTAAACCCCAACCCTTTTCTGCTAGCCTAAGCAGAGTCCTGACAGTTACTATTAGATCAGCACTATAAGCAATGTCATTTACTTGTAAGTATTAGAAATGCAGAAGTTATTAATGTAAATGTTTTGCTATGCTGAATTTTAGAACAGAAAAATTAGCCAACACACAGAACATTACAAACTCCTGGGCAAAGCCAGCCACGAACCAGCAAGAAGGGCCGGGGAGGAGCAGGGAAGGATGAACAGGAGTGTGGGGCACGGACTCCCCGAGTCAAAAGGATGCATGGGAAAGAAGGGACTGTAAAGCTGCTCCTACTCTCACAACTCCATTTCAACACTGCCACCTTTTCATCCTTTCTGGTGTGTAACCTGCATGACTCACGTCTACAAAATCACTTTGCCAGGACAACCACCTGCACGTAATGCCGAGAGAATGGGAGGCAGAGGAGTTACACCTCCATGAAGGTGGAGGGAGGGAGGAAGAAACAGTATGCTGCTCACTTGTAATAATTATTTTTTTTTTTTAGAAGACTGATAACCCATGTGCTATAAATTTGAAAAGATGTTTACTGTATAGCATTAGGTCATTTTGCACCCACATGAAGTGGAGAACAAAATCCTTAACCCTGTAAAAAAAAAACAACTCAGAAATTGGCAGTTGTGCAGGACAGACACCCTGGAAAGCCACCACAAATTCACACAGTAGCACTGCCAACACACAAGATAGGTCAAGCTAGCGAGAATCAAATATTCACAGCAGGCAAATTCTCTCCATAGGATCTGCTGATCAGATGCAATGGCAAACAGCTTGAATTTGGCCCACTTCCATTCCTTTCATCTGCCACAATAGTATACAAAATATTCTCACTGTATCTACGCTGCAAATCAGACCTGCAGCTTATCGCTGTGGAACCATCATTTGTCAGATGTGCTACTACATGGCCTGGATGAGATATACAGATAAACTCAGGGAAAACAAAAGCAAGCCAAGCTGTGTATCTGCACAGAACGCTGAATAAAATGCCAAGTGCATGCCGCTTCTGCAAGTTGGAGATATTATTAGTTGCCAGTAGCACCACACTGTTTTGCAGGACAGCTGCAGACAAACAGGTGGCCTTTTTCATTTCTGGAATGCTGAAATCTTCCCTGTTCCAGAAAAAATTGGAAGATTTTATAAGAATATATATATATTTTTCCAAACGGCTTTTCTGAGCAATTTCCGAAACAGCCTCTTAAAAGCCTTTTGTTTACTCTCAACATTTCTTCCTAATTCCCTCATTTTTCCATTTTATATAAATAATCAGTGGTGATAATTTAGTTACATAACAGCAATGGATCTTGACTGATTCACAAGCAGACGGAAAGGAAACACTGAAATATTCAGTTCAAGTCCACCAGGCAAGAACTTTTATGAGAGGGGCTGGGAACTTTTCATATTTTCATATATATATACACACACACACACACACACATATACATACACATATGTATATATATGCATACACACACATATGTATATATATATAATGTTTTACAATTTATCCAATATGCTTTGCTGTATATATACGCTTTACTGTTTATACAGTACGCTTTACTGTGTCTACAGTAAAACTACACTTTCACAAAACACTGTTTTCTGTGACAGATTCCAAATCAATAGATTTGGAAGCAACTCGAT